TCCGCGATGCCGCGTCTTTTTCTATGCAGTTCCTCGAAATGCCTCGCCTCGACAACTCGACATTGCGTTTGAGTTTTCAGCGTTCGTCACTCCTTCGCGAGTAAAAGTGTTTGGTTTCTCGGAAGCGACGCTCGAAAGGGAAAGTTTTTTTGCAGGTTTCTCAGAAGCGACATTCGAAAGTGTTTTTTTTTTGGTTTCTCAGAAGCGACACTCGAGACTCCGCGCTGGCTTCGGCGAGCGGTGTTTTGTTTACGTCGCGGCTCGTCACTTTTTTTCGGCGAAACGCGGATTGGTTTCGAAGTGGCCAATGAGCTACTGTCTCCTCCGGCTCCTCGCCTACAATTTTACTACTTCCTATGACTCTTGCCCCTTCTTATGATTTTTCTCCTACCTAATCTCCGGATTTTCGGTAAAGCGGTTGACGGTTCCGAGTTCAGTCCGCGCGTAGCACCCGGCTGTGAGTTACGCGAAATCGCGTTACTTTGCTCCGCGATATAGCGCGACTTTTTCGTCTATCAAAAGTGAAACATCGCGTACGAACGAGTGTCGGAAGTCGGAAGTGTCGCATCGGACGATCGCCTCGATCCGTCTATTGTCATACCTTTGTGAATTGACTACAAAAAAACCTTACATGTAAAGTGCGTTTTGTTCAGTGTATCGCACTTGCGCTATAGTTGCTTGTCTGAAGGATTCTCCGTGTATTTTTTTCGATCTAAAGATTTCAAAAACGATGCTCGGTCGCGTCTAGTTTACGTCACGGTTTCTCTTCTCGAAAAGAGTACGCGCATCGAAATGGTCGGCGGCCGTTGGATAACTTTAACGCTTCGCGTCTTTTGATCCGTTGAAAGTGAATATCACATGCTATTGGGTGCAGTCTCGAATTGAACGGACAATCCGTCTATTTGTCTTTTATTTTGCCGATATAAAGATTATAAGACTCCAAAAGTGGTGCTCGAGTCTTGCCGCGTTTACGCGGTTTACGTCGTGCGTCTAGCCTCTCTTTTCGAAAAGTGCACGCATCAAAATGACCGTTTCCGTGGGATAATTTTCGCTTCGCGTTCTCGCGGTTTTCGTTCCATCGGAAGTGAATATCGCGTGCTAACGAGTGTCGAATCAAACGGACGATCACTTCGATCAGTCTATTTGTACTCTATTTGTCGATATAAAATATAAATTTTAAGTTTCAAAAAAGAGAGCAGCGCTCGAATCTCTCTGGCACGCTCGAATATCGCGAGTATCTCGATTGGTTTTTTTTTTTTTTGAAAAGGGTACGCATCAAAACAGCTCACGGCCGTTTCCGTCGGATAATTTCTGCTTCGCAGTTTTCCGTTGGAAGTGAATGTCGCGTGGTAACGAGTGTCGAATCAAACGGACGATCATTTCGATTAGTCTATTTGTATTCTATTCGTCTATATAAAGTTTAAGATTTAAAAAAAAAGAGCAGTGCTCGAATCTCGCTGGCACGCACGAATATCGCGATTGGCCTTTTTTTTGAGAAGTGTCGCATCAAAACAGCTGACGGCCGTTCCCGTCGAATAATTTCTGCTTCGCGTTCTCGCGGTTTTCGTTCCGTCGGAAGTGAATATCGCGTATTAACGAGTGTCGAATCGAACGGACAATCATTACTTTGGCTGGTCTATTTGTATTTGTCGATATAAAGTTTAAGGTTTCAAAAAAAGAGCAGTGCTCGAATCTCGCTGGCACGCTCGAATATCGCGATTAGCCTTTTTTTCTGAGAAGTACGCATCAAAACAGCTGACGGCCGTTCCTGTCGAATAATTTCTGCTTCGCGTTCTCGCGGTTTTCGTTCCGTCGGAAGTAAATATCGCGTGCTAACGAATGTCGAATCGAACGGAAGATCATTTCGGTCAGTCTATTTGTCGATATAAAGTTTAAGATTTCAAAAAGGAGAGCAGTGCTCGAATCTCGCAGGCGCGCTCGAACATCGCGACTGGCCTCTTTTTTTTTCCCCGCCTCAAAAATTGTACGCATCAAAAAAACGACCGACGATCGTCGGATAATTTATACGCTTCGCGATCTCGCGACATTTACCTACAATTAGTTCGTCGAAAGTCAGTATCGCGTATACGATCAATGTCGGGAGTGTAGAATCGAACAACAGGCGATCGTCCCACGTGCGTGTTTGTCAGTCCACGCGCGATCGTTTTGTAGAATTCGATGTATACCGCTCGAGTGTTAGTGAGTGCAAGTGTGTTATAAAGTCATTTAACGTGATATCGTGCGATTGTGAAGTGAGCGAAACTAAAAGGATACATACCAGGAATACATATTATAACCGAAGGAAGGAAAAAGAGATACTCGGAAGCAGAGAGGAATGAGGCGATGACGACGGCGCGTTGACAGGTGAGAGTTATTTAATTTGTTGCATTCGGCTTATCACTTGTCGCTCGACTTCGAGCATGGCACATATATTTCTATATTATTTTTTAAGCGGCACATATATATCCTTAACTGTTAATATGAGAGTTGAAGTTTAGAATAGTCAGTGCACTTGCAAAACGACTTTAATTGCACGCGACGATTATTTCAAGTGACCTAACCCACCGTCATTGTCGGAATCATTGTTTCCTTTATGGCACGGAAGCCATGCGCATACCATTTCATCACCTCACTTTTGTATCGATATCCATTATCGAAATCCATTAGCATGTTGTGCTCCAGATTCACTGTTTAATTGACCTGCACACGATTGCCACCTCTCCAGTTTTCGCCTAAACGGAGACTCCGACTCATTTGACAGTTTGACAAATCTCCGGTTCTCCGGCACACGAAGATAATCTCCGGGCGAGCGCTTTAAATTTTGACAATCTCCTTTCTGGGAAAGCGCGATGATTTTTCGTGGACTCAATGAAAAATCTCCGGCAGAAGAGTCAATTTTGATGACTCTTCGGCTCGATAAAAAAATTTCAGGCAGGACAGTCAATTTCGATGACTTTTTTAGCAGACGTCTGTTTTGGCAAAGAATTTTTAATGGCGTGGTTAAAATTGATGATCTTCCAGCAGAACACTAATACATGTGAACATGTCCGGTGACAACCGTGCTTCTGCATCATCCGCATGTCCCAGGCTTGCTTTATCGGTTTATGTATAGTTTCTTCATCGAATCCTTCGAGGTATCCTTCAATACTGTGCTAACATCCTTTTAAGCCTGTCACCGTTATGTTCACCGCGAGCTCGAGCATGAAGATTATCAACAATGCGGATGTAAATTAAATTATTTTTTATATTAATATAAATAATCAACAAAAATTGCATACAGTTGTAATTCATAATTACTTATTAGTTTTCATTATGAAAAAGTATGTTTAGAAAAGTAACAAGATGACAACACAAATATTTGTATACTTAATTTGATATATTAATATCTAAAGATATACGAAATGTTCTTCGGAAATCTTCAAACTTAATTTTTATTAAGAAATTAAATTTAATTGGGAAAGTCAAATTAATTTTATTTTTACATTTTATATGAAATTTTTAGAGATAAAATGTAGACAAAAAAATAATCAAAACCTTTATCGTTATTGCAATTAACGTTAGAATTTTTGGAATACACTTTCAAGAAAAGAAACTTTAATAGATAGACGCCTTATGTTTCTTTCCTCAAAAAATTATCAAATTTTTAATTATTTCAATTTCTAGGCGAGCTAATCATTTTCATAATTTTATCCGCCGTATATAAACATTCTAAAAACAATCTTTAAAAAGTTGTTCCGTCTTATAAACATTTTTTCTTTATGGCTGTGTTAACTTTAAGCAAAAATCGGGATTAGAGTCATTAATTTGCAAATAAATAAATTATTTTTACGTAAGTCGTATTCGATTGCGCTGAAGCGGTTAGCGCCAGCCTCTCAAGCTAGAACATTCCTTGTTTCTTCAAATCGGCATAAAAATCGAGATTAGATCAATTAATTACCTAATAAATAGCAAGAAATTTTTAATATAAGTCGCAATCGATTGTGCTAAAGTGACTGTGTCAGCTTAATAAATGTATATTAGATTGATTTCTATAGCATAAAAGTCGAGAAAACAAGCAAAAAAATAAAATATAATTGATCATAAATATATTAGTTTTGTCCTATATCTATTTATGAAAAATTAATTTTTGGAGAAGCGAAATTATATATGTATATAAGAATTGTATGAATTATATAGATTTTTTGTAATCAATCTCTTTATATTTATATATTTCTGTTACGTTTCTGTTGAAAAAAATTATAATCGACACTTTGCAAAATCTATTTAGATTTAATTATTTATAGCATAATTTATTATTCTGTAGCATAGAAAGTCAAGAAAAGTCAAGAAAAAAGCAATAAAATAAAATATAATTGATCATATAAATATATTAGTTTTGTCCTATATCTATTTATGAAAAGTTAATTTTCATAAATAGATAGAAATAGGAGAAGCGAAATTATATGTAAGAATTGTATGAATTATATAGATTTTTTTGCAATTAATCTCTTTATATTTATATATTTCTGTTACGTTTCTGTTGAAAAAAATTATAATCGACACTTTGCAAAATCTGTTTAGATTTAATTATTTTGGTAAAAGATCGTAAGTAAAACTAAACTGTAATACTTACATATTTATTTATCAAGAAACGAATTAGAGGAGCAAGATAATATTAGATAATATTATGGGTAAATATTCGGGTTATAGCCGTTATACTTTATAATTTATATTTTATATGTATAGGATAAGTCTCATCTTTTTACCATTAGAGAAGGTATATCGGTAGAAGGTACGTACCTGGCTATATAGCCTGCAACAACACAGCTTCGTTCTCCAATCTCTCGTGCAGTTCGCGACGTTCGCACATTTGTTTTCATCTACATTCGGAATATTTCCGTAATTTCGGTAGTGTGATCTGTTATAATTTTTCATTTAAAAATGATTACGTTTACACGAATTACGCGTATATTGGCGCGTGTGATTACGAATCTGTAACTATAATAAGTAGATATTTTCTTATATCGAATCTAACCTAACCTAACCTGTGCACGTGCACGTGAGTTCTCCCCGTCTGTTAAATGAAATATGAAATTTGTATTTGCACACGTGTCGATAATTCGCGTGAGTTCGGATAAACGTCGCAATTGGAATGGCACGATTAAGCAACAAAGCGAAGCTGAAGTCGTTGGTCACCGTGACGAGCAGCGCTGTCGCCCTGTTCGGCGGTATCTCTCTCTATCGGGGCGACGAAAGATTTTACAGTGACGTCGCTATGCCCTTGGTGCAACTGGTAGATCCGGAAATCGCCCACGAACTCGCGGTGAAAGCTCTGAAGTATGGCCTCGCGCCAAGTCAAAAAACGGAAGATCCCAGGTCGCTCCGTACGACCGTGTTGGGCTTGCAATTGAAAAGTCCGATTGGCATGGCTGCGGGCTTCGATAAGCAAGGAGAGGCGGTGGAGGGATTGCACAAGATTGGTTTCAGTTTTGTGGAGATAGGTAGAATCTATGCGGTAGCTACAGACTTACTTTAACATCAGTATTTTCGATAACATAACAATAATCTTGTATCGCTTTCTGCTGCAGGTTCCGTGACACCTAAGCCTCAGTCGGGCAATCCAAAACCCAGAGTTTTCAGATTGCCGGAGGATAAAGCGGTTGTAAATAGATATGGATTCAACAGCGACGGCCACGACGCCGTGTGGAAACGTCTGAAGGGATTGAAGGAGAGCAAGAGTTTTGACGGTATTCTCGGGGTGAATTTAGGGAAGAACAAGGAGACGGAGGACGCGACTCGAGACTACGTCGATGGCATAAAGAGATTCGTGGACGTGGCGGATTATTTTGTGATCAATATATCTAGTCCGAACACGCCGGGTTTGAGGTCTCTGCAGAACAAGAGGAATCTGGAAGAGTTGCTGACCGCGGTGAACGCAGCGAGAGAATCGGCGGGCGGCAAACAGCCGTTGTTCTTGAAATTGGCTCCGGATCTGTCGGATTCCGAGCGACAAGATGTGGCGGACGTAGTTTTAAGTGAGAAGTCCAGGGTCGATGGCTTGGTCTTGTGCAATACCACGATCACGCGGCCTAACCTGACGAATCCGAACAGGCAAGAGAGCGGGGGCCTCAGCGGTGCACCTCTCGCAGATATTTCCACGGCCATGATATCCGACATGTATAGACGAACGCGTGGCAGCATCCCGATTATAGGCGTAGGCGGTGTTTTCTCTGGGCATGATGCTTATGTTAAAATAAGAGCCGGCGCTTCGCTGGTGCAACTTTATACCTCATACGTGTATCACGGGCCACCGGTGGTCGCCAAGATCAAAAGAGAGCTGTGCGAGATACTTGAAGCCAACGGGTTTTCTTCGGTTACCGATGCACTAGGCAAGGACGCTAAAAATAAATAGATACGTTTCCTAACATGTTTACACTTTACGTGCACACGATTCAATGCAATTTATATAAGGCCTATTGTAGATAAGTAATACTTTGTTAATTATATTGTTACAATTGAAGAAGCGTTTTTATTATGATGTTTGTATTAAATCAGCAGTAATTTATATTGTCAACTTAAGTACTTTCATTTTCAGCTCACTTCCTTGTTACAGCCTATTAATCATGTATTGTCATGTATATCAGGTATTGTTGCTATCAATTTATGACGCAAATCAAGAAATTAAAATATATTACATAGCGATATTTCCTGTAAACATTTCACGGAACATTACGTAATTCTAGAAATACATGTAAATACAATATAGCGTGAACTTGCAAATTATATAAAATATTTGTATAAAATTGTATAAAATACGTACATGCTCGCGTAAACATTGATTAATTATAACTAGTTATTGCGTCAGCTTTTATATTCCAGTGTTTTTCCGATGTAATCCAAGTAATTAACAATTTCAAAGTTTTTATAATTGTCATTTGCTATGCACATAATTGCATATTTATGCATTGAAATACAGAATTTCTAATTGAATAGCTAATTATTTTTTGCTCATGAAGAAAACAAGATTCAAATCATCGATGCAAATTACACGTAGATACCGGTCTACTGTTGCGATACGAACTAGTTTTCATTTCATTTCAAATTGTTTACCATTAGACAATTTACGAAGGCAAACGTCGACTTTTTTTTAATCAAAATGTATAACAATCACGAGCATCACGGCGCCTGTGTCGATCATTTAATTCGAACGCTCGATTATCCACGTCGCTTTCGCGTGCAGTTTTGAATTCTCGCGGAATTGCTCGCGTGCTAACGCCGATCGCCGCCGCCCGGCGGCGCCACTGGCGCTCGTTCCGAAGTCGCGACTGTCGCGAAGGATCTACCTTCAGACTCCTTCTCGCAATGCCGTCGTCGCGATCGCAGCAGTCAGCTGTTATGTCGGAGTGAACATTCTTAACCAACAAATTGCGCGGATATTCGGCCAACCTCTCGACGACGACCCCCACCCCCGGGTGGCCCGCGACGAGCTTATCTCGGCGATCGACCGGCCTACGCTCGACCACGCGACGGAGGTACGTTTTTTTTTCCTCAACGGCGAGCACACGCGTCGTCGTTCGGGAGAGAGACCGAGTCGCACGGCACCTCTCTCTGGCTCGCTCGCTGCTCGCGGCCACCTTCGCACCAGCGCTGGTGCGAGTCATCGTCGGCGCCACGAGTCGCGTGTCGCGGAAGGTGATAAGGTCGCGAGATTTTCCTCGGCCGCGCCTCATCTCGAGCCGCGTCTCTTTCTCTCTCTCTCTCTCTCTCTCTCTCTCTTGCGCGCGGGGGGTAAGAAAAAATACGGTATACGAGCGCAACGTCGGGCCCGTGGCGCTCGTTGACGCACATCGACGACGTCGTGACGCGACGAGTAAACATCAGGGACCCATCGAAAGTGCGAGTCTCGGCAACTTCTTTTTTTCCTTATATACACCGTGTCCGTCACGCGCACGTACGCACGCACGACCACATATGCGATCGTCCGACATCCCGAGGTCTCCTCGAGACCGCAGTCAGACGCAGTCCGCGTGACAGTTTTTCCGACGGCCGTGATCGCTCGCTGACGCGCATCTTTTCGGCGGATAGACGAAATGCCACGTTCAATTCGCCTCGCTGGAAACGTCAAAGCGAGCCTGCGTCGTGGCTAATTTCGATCCGATTGTGTGCGCGACTGTCATTTCCGATTACCACGAAACGTCGTATGTATGTACCAGCGTGTTTTCCGAATTAGCGTTCGACTTTATTGATCCAGCGGGGATTTGTGTGCCCTTAAAAGCGTGTAAAGCTGGCTTAATTTTGTGATCTCTCATAGCGAGACTCTGTGCTGGAGTAGGAAAATGCTAGGATGACGTCATCATCGTCGTTGGAGACAACTTTCCCTTTTCGTGAGATTTTATCTACAAATTATATTTAATATTTCCATTTATGCTGTTACTCGTCTCATTAATATCTATTCGATATTATTTGTGTTTCACATTAATTTTTAATTTTGTTCGCTCGGTATATTTAAGTGGACCCTAAAAAGATTTCGATCAATTGAAATTATGAATTCATATGAATGAATAATCAATGATACTTTCAAGCAAACCTTGCTTTGTCGGCGTTTGATTTTGCTGTCAAACGTCATTCAATCGTGTAACATAATACGATACAAGGAAAACAATTCTTTAATAATGCTTAGCTCAAGACAATGCATATCAGCAGGGCCGGCTTTGAAAAGATAACGGGGCCATGATTCAATCTGGAAAATATGCGTATCTTACGGAGAGAAGAGAGAGAGAGAGAGAGAGAGAGAGAGAGAGTGCGAGAGAGACAGAGATACGATCTCTCCTTTACGGACCGAGCCGAGCGTGTTGAAATTTCGTGCATATTGCATGACTTTTAAGTATTGCAACACGCATAATTCATGCGTCCCATAGAACGCGGTGAAATCGCCGATGACCATCGCGTTTGTGCGATTCAACTTTATATTCATTCTTTTCTCGGAGAAATCGGCGGCAAATCGTTTCGACAAAAACTTGTTGAAAATCTCGAATGTTATAGCGCGGTGATATATCGAAATAAAAATGTAGTCGAAATAAAAAAAAACTGACCTCGGTCATTCTGGCCATTCTTTCGAAGATTTGTCGCTCTTGTGAGATTTTACGGACGTAATAGATTAATCTGTTACGTCAGAATAAAATTAGAATAAAACAAGGTGTTTTTCAAACAGGCTTCCGCCAACTCGTTCGAGTTTTTTCATCTCTCTCTCTCTCTCTCTCTCTCTCTCTCTCTCTCCCTCAGGAAATTAAAAAAATTAATTTACTTTTTGATTTTATGATTATTGGATACGAAAGTATACATATGCAACAGAGATTGTGTATTGCATACTTTTAAATATTAAATTTAAAAACTTGTTGAATATATAATTATAATAAAACTTAATAAATATATAATTTTTTTAAGACTGCTACGAATATATTATCGAAATTCTCGTCGACGAAGATAATTTCAGTTAACATAGTAATTCGCGTGATTTAATTCGTGCATACCCTTGGTTTGCCCAGTTTGTTGTACTCGATCATTTGTCTTATTTTTGTAACGCGTCTTGATGCGTGCACTAAGTATAACGCGGCCCGAGTATTTCTCCAACGTCTCTCGATGGAGACGTGATATTCATTAGCTTCTCAATTATCTCCGCAATGAATCACTTGAATGACAACGGCAATGAATAAGCGAGATCACTGTTATTGCCGCGGTCACGCGTGCAGTATCAAGTTTGTTGAGGTCTATTCACGCTACATGATTATTAGATCCGTAATTCCGTGTCACACATTACGTAACTGCGTATTTATATAATACACGTAAAAAGGAAAACAACATATTCGGTGTGACGTCTTAATAAAGTTTTGTTTGAGCAGCTGTACACGTTTCGTCGAGAGCTCTGTACAAATTTTAATCCGCACGCAACATAATTCGAGAAATATATTTTTACACGTTAATATGATAAAGGTTTTATTAATAACTTGCACGTTAATTAATTTTTTTTTAAGATATCCTAATTGATTGCAATTGTACGCTTTGATTGCAGAACGCGTCATTCTGGACATTACGCGGCGAAGTATGAGTCTCTAGCAACGCGCAACATTTCCCGACACTTCTCTCAGAATGTTTAAAGAAAACGAAAATGGCGTGGGTGGCTGCAACGGCGCACCGCCTCGCCCTCGAAGATTGTTTCCCCGATTTTCCCTGCGGAGATTATTGTATTCCAGTCCGCTTATCGGCCGTCGCATCGCAAGAACGCCTAGTAATAGGAATGCAAAAGGTAACTTCTAAATTCTATTATACTCTAGATGTATGTACATACACACTGGGGTCCCCCGGACCTCAGCGAAACATTCTCGGTTTGGCATTTCTGAAATTGGAAGGAGAGGGGTTTGGGATATTGACGTAAAAAAGGTTTATCTCCTGGGTGGGATCTCCTCAGTAGGAAGACGTGTTGACGCGCGGCAATTGTCGCTCAACAACCGAGCAGTGAACAGTTGAAGTGAGCGTGGGGTCCGCGGGACTGCTTGCAGTTTTGTTAAATTAAAATATCGGATCGCAAAATTTTTGTGTTACTATTTCAAGTATACCCTTTCAGAATTTTCAAGGATTTTAAAAATTGGTCTATAAACGAAAGAGATATAATTTTTTGAAAAAAGGTGCTAAATCGAGATTTTTTTCGCGTTTTTAAACTTCCCTTTTTCTTTGAACCCGTACATTTTGGAGCTCCTTAATTCTATCGATTTTTAAACATGGGCTTGTTCCTTGGTCGATTCTCTACCGATTGAAAAAAAAAATGAATTGAAATATGTCCATTTTTACTAGAGTTACAGTAAGTCCCGAAACACAATAGGTGTAGTAAGCCTTAAGCCGTAAGAAATTGACCAGTCGTAATCGATTATTCTTTTCACATTCGATTGCGATTTGTCAATTTCTTACGGTTTAAGGCTTGCTACACTTATTGTGTTTTGGGACTAATAAATATGGATGGGGTCCCCAGTGTGTATACGTAGGATTAAGCTGTATATTGATGATTGAAAACGCGCGCACGCGCGCGCGCGTACGAGTATGATTTTTCAAAATAGAAAATATTTTCGCAGCCAAAGATCAAGCAAGCGGCAGAGCGACGGATGTTGAGAAAGGAGAAGCCAGAGTCAGCAACGGTTCGAGCCATTTTCAATTTCACAATATAGACCTACAGCGTGCTCCTAGCAAAGGTTCCGTGCTCTCTTCTGCAGGAAAGGTATTAACAAAAAAAAGATAAAATTGACATTTAAAAAACTGTATAAAGAATAAAGGCGTAGATTTTCTTATTAGTAAGAATTTCTTATCGAAAATTGTTAAATTTTTATGTTCATTTCAGAGTAACGAGAACGGATTAATGGAATGCCCATTATGTTTGGCCGAACTGCCAGTAGAATTTTTTCCTATTATTCAGTCTTGCCATCATCGCAGTTGCTACGATTGTTTTCAACAGTATCTGAAAGTGGAAATATCTGAATCCAGAGTTAATATCGCCTGCCCTGAGTGTTCAGAACCATTGCATCCAAATGGTGAGTATATTACGAGTATACGTAACAATTACGTTAACATTTTCAATCTTTTCATTAGATTCGTGAGTTGTTATTATATTGTAATCTTTTGCGTTACGTTTTTGCACATACAGATATTCGAATGATTCTGAATGACCAAACGCAGTTAGAGAAGTACGAGGATTTTATGGTCCGAAGAGTACTCGCTATAGAGCCTGATGCAAGATGGTGCCCTGCTCCAGATTGTAGTTTCGCTGTAATCGCCAGTGGCTGCGCCTCATGTCCAAAATTACGTTGCGAGCGACCAGGCTGCGATTCGTATTTTTGCTATCATTGTAAAGCGCGATGGCATCCTAATCAAACGTGTGATGCTGCGAGGGCACAACGTTCCCAATATTATGAGCGCAGCTCCTCTCTAAGTTTCAGTCAAACTGATTCTCAGCACAGTAAGTGTTATGAGATAAGAAATACTGTTTAAAGCGGGTCTTTGTGCTTAATATTTTATGTATTTATTTTTAATTATAATTTTTGGTTCCATGGAAATAATTTCTATGAACTGGGTGTCGATACGAGTTGTCGGACTTGAAACGCAATCCTAGACTAAAGCAAGAATTTTGATGTCTCGAATTAATTTTCATCATTTTTTTATCAATTTTTTAATAACGATGCCACAGGCATCTTAAAAAGGCATTCTTAATTTGAAATGTCAATTTTTGCTTCAGTCCAGGATTGCATTTCAAGTCTGACAACCCGTATCGGCATGCAGTTCACGGAATTAATAAAAATTAATAATTTATAATGAATACATAAAAGCATTATTAAGCACCAAAACCTGTTTTAGGCAGTGTGACATTTCTTACTTATACATTTATAACTAATATCAAATTATAATTTGTGATTTATTTAGGAGATGACATAAAACCGTGTCCCAGATGTCAAGTTCTGATCGTCAAGATGGACGATGGAAGTTGCAATCACATGACTTGTGCAGTTTGCGGCGCTGAGTTTTGTTGGCTTTGTATGAAAGAGATCAGTGATCTTCATTACCTTAGGTATGTCCAATTTTTAATAAAGTTATGAATACACGTACACTCGCTCACTAAAAGGTTGCGACACTATCTTTTTTATAGGTTTCAAAACGCATTAATATTTTGCAAATGTGGACCACGATTGGTGTTATAACTGCCTTTAGACTAAAGATAGTACATCGTGGTTTGCATTTGCAAAATATTAGTTATCTATAAAGTATATATTACGTATATTAAATATAAATTAGAAACCTATAAAAAAAAGTGTCGCAACCTTTTAGTGAGCGAGTGTACAATATAACTAAACAAATTAAACATTTTTTAATTTTATTTATAGTCCTTCTGGTTGCACTTTTTGGGGTAAGAAGCCGTGGTCCAGAAAAAAAAAGATTCTTTGGCAACTTGGAACTCTGGTGGGAGCACCAATTGGAATCGGTCTCGTCGCCGGTATAGCATTTCCAGCTATGATTATAGGTTGGTTATAATTATATTAAATGGATTATATATTGCGACAGTGTAAAGATGTTATAACATTGGGTGCTTTCCATTTAGTAGAAATAAGTCGACACAAACGTTATTCTATCCTTAGCGTTTAGTAACAGTAACAAAGACAAAACGATACTTGTGTCTCTAAATGGAAAGCACCCAATGTTATAACGTTGTTACTGCACAAAGTTGAAACTGCACCAAAAAAATGTCGCTACAAACATATATTTTGTGTTTAAGGTATACCGGTGTGGGTAGGACAAAAATTATATACGAGATACGAGAAGGCCAACAAGCACAAGAGAAATGCTTTTATCGCAGGGGGAGTGACTGCATCAGTAAGTTTATTAAATATTATAATCATTAAAGTGTGCTACTTTCAGTATGGCCTGTTCTTTGTCGCTGCACTGGACTGCACTAACTTTCTACATTCTGCTTTTACCAAACTTCAAATATATATCTACTTCATTTTAAGTACGAGTGTACTGGTTAAGCTATAAAGAACAGACCTTATGTGTTTGCAAGATACTAGCATATCAGTACAGTTTGCAGTGTTTAAATTTTCGCGATTAAGCGTTATTTATCCTAAACAATGCAATGATTTCATCAATGTTTCTCGTTCCACGATGAATTATTGATCGTGCGAATTCTGTTTATAATTGAAAGAAAAAAAAATGGAAACGTGCGTCTGTATTTAATTACAGCAGGAACTTTGTTTACTATTCGTGATATAACATCGAAGTATATTTTATCCATACAGTTTATACAGAGAAAATGGATAGTACAATAATTGTATATATAGCGTTAACAAAACAGCGCGTTCGCTGGAATAAATGTCGGAAGAAGTTTATCACGGGACGTATTCGGGCAATTGGAACGTAATTGTTTTATGTTTCATGTCATATCTCGAAAATATTCTATAACTTTGGTATATGTCCTATATATCGTTAATCACACGGATCTAGCTGATTCCGTCTCAATAATTTTATCACAACTACTCGCCTAGATCTTTAACGACTTGGCACAGCGCATTAAAGATGTCCATTAGCAATTTGTAATCTGAGCATAAAACCGAATTGATAAAATCCACATTGGAGAAATCTACGTCTGTTAAGAAATCAATAGTTTTTTTTTTTAATTTTTTTACGTAGCTTCTCCTAAAAAATTTGCTTCCGATTTTATCTTACTTTCATCAAATTGCAAGCGAGTCTTGCGTGAATACTCATTAAAATATCGTAGCTTTTAAAGAGTAATGGCTGATAGGTTGTCAAAGCTTACATTAATATATAACCGAGACATCTATCGTATCCTCTAAGTATATCGATCTTGACCCATTTTTGTCCCGCTCGTTTTAGTATCTCGTCGCAAAGAGTATTAAATCGAGTATTTAACGTCCACTATATTCTTCCGACGTGAGTCGTACTTCTTTGCAGCTGTCTCTTCTTCGGCGCCGGCATTCATTGCTATTGCTGGCTTAATCCTCCTTTTGGGTTGGGAACACAAAGATTGCGTCTTTAAACTACAAAACGGGCTATCTATTGCTTCACGTGAAACTCTTCGCTTAGAGTCACAGCCCTGATAGAAATATTAATTCTCTTCGGTGCGTACACTAATCGTGGCAGCAGTGATTAAGAATCAACTTCATTCGTCGCGACAGCCTCATTCGTCGCGACGATGGCTTCGTCCGTCAGTACGCCGTCGTTATACAGATCCTCGAGGACGTCGATCAGTCGTTGCTCCGTGAGGGGATCACCGAGTGCGACGTCCACCGATCCGATGCAGAGTAGAAGCGCCAGCAGTTGCGACTTTCTGTAGTCCTTGTCGAGATCCTTTCTGGTGTAACCTAAATCCTTGGGGATATTTAGGCCGAGATGCGAGCACGTCCAGTTCAGCCTGTCCCAATACTTGTCCAAAAGCGTCTCGGTGTGCTTGCGCCGTAACTCGGTAGGCACTGAACTCACCAACAGTAGTGCGACATCGTTCGTCGGCCGGCTGTAAGTGACCATCTGCCAGTCGAGAATGTAGCAGTCGGTTGTCCCACGGTCATTCTTGAAAAGCAGATTATTGCTCCAGAAATCGGTGTGAGTTATCAACGCCAGCGGACCCTCCGGGGCGAGGAGGGCCGAGATAATGTCCTTGGTGCGGGGTCGTAGAATCAGCAGAGTCTCGAGGACCGCCTCCAGTCCCGGTCTGCTCTCCAGGAAGTGCGCCAGCTGCGGTAAACCGCGCTCCACCAGCTGCTGGTACGAATCCGTCGCTTTCGCCGTTTGGAAGAGAAACTGATAACGCTCGGAGAGAGACTGGCCGTCCACGACCTTCATCGACAGGGAATGGGCGTGTATGAGGGCGATGGCGTCTAACGCTGCCATCGCTTGATCTAACGTTAATCCCTCCGAGAATTTAACGCTCTTGTAATTGCAATCGCTCAGGTCCTCCAGTACTAGCATCGATTCCGGCGGCACCGGGCTGTCGTCGGTGCCGCCTGCGGGGCTATAATGAGCGTGATAGCACGTCGGAACTGGTAGTATAATGCGGGTTTCATGTAATCTTTCGTATATATCGGTACTCTGTGAATTGATCTTCGCTAGCTGTCTCTTATTGAACTCCATCAAATCTGGCATCACCTGATGATGATACAAACACGCAGCATTAGGAATTCGTCAAAACAGAGAAAAAGAGATCTCAAATCTGATTCGATTACCTTGATCGCCTTACCTGCGTATAAAACTTAATCTCTCGGAGATCGAATTGGCCCTCCGTAACGAAGAAGCGGCTAAACGGATCCTTGGGGAGTTGCTTAATGATAAGGGACGCTTTGCACTTGTCATTTGGCTTATTCGTCGTAAGCGCCGCTAAATAGTTTGCCGTAACGCTGGTGATAGCGCTAAGCACGCTCTCGCTCGTCGCGCATCCTGGTCTCACGTTAAACTTCAGGACTTCGACCTGAAAATGAATCATTCAAATGCTCGGAGTCGGATATCACGATTAATAACGCGTTATCAATTCGCACATATATCTACACGGCCGTCAACAGTTGGGTATTCTATTTCACTCGTCTACAATGACTAACCGCTTTGCCGTTGTGGTGCTTCGACAATATGCTCTCGAGCCACTCCTTCCGGACCTCCCAGTCCGAGACCATCTGCTCCTCCCCGCACGAAGTGTCGGTCTCGTCGTCCAAATCGGACATGACTCCTTCCGACTCGTTCCTCAGCAGCTCTCCTCTTTTCTCCATCCCTCTTCGTTAGTTAAGTAGCCAGTAATTTCCCGCCGGCGCGACGCGGCTCGGCTCGGCGATGCTCTCCGGTGATCGTCTCGCTCGCGGCGCACAACTGCCTGGCCTCGGTCGACGTTTTAACAAGGCATGTGCTCCGGTCCGAACGGAGACGGTGCGCGCCCCACCGATACGCGGCGGACGATATTACGCGTCTAAATTACCGCACGCACACGCGCGCGACGTTGCTACGCACACGCGTATGCGGGCTGGTTATTAACGACGCGCGTATGTATACGTGTGCTCGTCACCGTGAAATCACCGTCGCTGAATGAGAGCCCTCCTCGTTACGTGCCGCTGCCTCTTCCCGGCTACGTCCGCCGCCGCCGATTCTGCGCCGATTTGGAGCAGACTGTGGTTCGATGCCCCGGCATGGGTGGAGAGAGAATCTACTATCTTTTTAATCGACACGCCCTCGGATCACCCGACCGATCGACCGACCGAGAGTCTTCCTCCTCGATCTAGGCGCACCGAGCGCGCGTTACCCTTAATCGCCACGACGTGACGTGGACCTCAAGAGTACTGACCAACGCATGTCCCTTTGTCGCCCGCCTTGGGCTTGGTGCTCGGCGCCGCCGACGCAGGGTGGGACGAGGAAGATATCGCGCGCGGCGCATGTCTACTCCCGATCAATATTCTTCCTCCCGCTCCTCTCCCCAGAGGCGTGCAAAAAGAGTTGGCCGCCCGCGTGTGCAAAAATAATTTTGCCACCCCCAGAAAAGTGTGTACATAATAGTTATCTGTATCTAGGGATTCCCGATTAAAAAGCAAAGAGACAAAGGAAAGAATGTATGCAAAGAAAAGGAGACAAGTTAGTAGATAGAGAGGAAGATTTTAATGCGGATCGCCAACATTCAGGAAGTTGCGATTCTATCGCATTTGTAGTACCGTGTAGTACGTTCGAGTATAATTCAATGAATCTCTCTCTGCTTCAGCCACCCGCTATGCATGCATTGTACGCTCGCTAGGCACGCCCCTGCTCCTCCTCCCCACCTGCAGCTCATGCACGCACTCAAGTTTCTTAGTTTGTTTTTATTGCTGCACTCTCTGGATTCTGCATAGAGCTTTCCTCTTGTCGCCTCTTTCGACGAATTTCAAGTGTACAGCTTATTTTACTTTAAGCACAAAGAGTGTACACGCCAGTTCAGCTGTGGAAAAACTCTTCTCCTGTCTTCGGCCGTCTACGCCGAAACTCCGCGTTTCCGAGGTCGCGCAGTAAATCTGAAAATCAGAGCGCGCTAATGCACCTCCGACGACTCCCAACAGTCCCAACCCGTCATCCTCGCTCGCCACGTCGATGGCTATACATGCGAGCTGATACGATATACCGTATTCCATTTCCTCGCAGGATTACGGGACGGGGAAAAAGATACATGCGAAATTGTTCCGCAAGCATGGAAATGTAGCGCACACGAGTACGCGCTGATAAACGTGTAATAAAAATGTAGAGTCTTGAGACTTGAGAAGCGCTCGAAGTTAATTTAGATATCCGTTCTGGATAAGATAAAATTGGCTATCGCTTCGAGGTAGGGAACAAGAGCGTTATACCAACAGAAATGATTGATTCAAAATGATCGATTATCTTCGTTTATCGAAAATACGATTTACTTCGGCTGCGACGCGAGCATTAAACTTTCATTTATCGGAGTTTTCTTATAACTCCGTGCAGCTACGCCGTGGCCTTCGATATGTATCTGAGATATGCTCCTATTTATATTACTTAACAGGTGTCGGATATATGGATTATATAAAGCAAGGAGCAGCTTTAAGGATAGCCAGCAGCGTTATCTCTTCTCGCATGCCTTGTGCTGTCCTGGCAAGCGATGCGTTAGGGGGATAAGGTATTTTTTCACAAAGTCGTTCAGTTAATTTACCGTTATGACTCCCACAGGTCTTAGTGTCGCCAGTGCTAGCAGGGCTAGCCGTGGGCATCGGCGTGCCGATTTTGCTGTTCTACGTCTACGGTGTGGTCCCGGTATCCCTCTGCCGAAGCGGCGGCTGCGGCGTCTCCACGAGCGGCACCGGGGTGCGATTTGAATTTGATGACGAGAACGAACTGATGGGGGCTCTGGGCGTCCGTAACGGCGGAGGTAAAAATACAGGCATTTGTATCGCACGCGGTACAAACATACACATGCACACACGCACACACACACACACACACACACACACACACACACACACACACACACACACACACACACACACACACACACACACACACACACACACACACACACACACACACACACACATACACATATTGTTCCGCTCGATTAAATCCATCTTACCCACGTGTGTGCCGCGGCTATTCATACCTCGTATCGAGGTCGCGCTATCGCGATCGAAATCCTTATTACAAGACCGTCACGTTTACAGACGCGGCATCAATAGACGTCGCGAGTCATCGCGGTGGCAATCCATCGATAGGGGAGGCCTCCCTTTCACTGGGTAGCGGCAGCCAGTTGGAGAAATTGGGCCGGGAAAATGACCGCGAGAGCGCCAGCAACGTGGCCCTCGCTGGTACGAGCCTCGCCGGGAGCATAGCCTCCAGCGTGCTGCCCGGAGGTCAAAGGTATCACTCGTTTTCTCGTTCGTTAGACTGGCTCTAATGCGTTTTTCACTGATATATCTGATTACTTTCGCACACAGGTTGGAAGTCCAGGCTGACGTTACGTCTACTCAACGTTTTAGTTTATGTAGCGAGACGGCTTCCGCGGCTACCAGTCTGTCTGAAAAGTCCGTAAATGCTTCTATCGCTCTGGACGACGGCGCGGCCTCCACGAGAGCGTTGGCCGGCTCCGTTCTTAACTTCAAGGTATCCTGCTGGATATTAAATAGAAAATCTTTTTATTTTGTTTTAATTACCGAGTAAATATATTAAAATGATTGGGAGAAATATGATAAATTTCTAAATTCCATTATTTTTATCATTGTCTTTTATATCTCGTTTATGTAGATGGATGGCAGCTCAATCAGCGGCGGTAGAAGCACGGAAGGGGAACAGGCGGCTGGCTCTGCTAACGGTGGTCACATGGACTCGGCTGGACAAGCAACCTCCCTGAGTTCGCTGGAAGAGGTGGCACCTGGCTTAGCAAAACGTATTCGTCGTAAGCTCACATTCGATCGTCAATGCAGCGACTCTAGTAGTTGGACTATGTGCGGGGAGGACGGCGGTTCGGAACGCGTACGATTTGACGATCACGTCAGCGTAATCGAGGCGGATCAAGAGCGGGTGGTGGGTGGCAAATTGGAAGGTTGCACAAATAATCGCTCAGCGGGAGGAGGACGGAAGCGAAACAAGGATTCCGAGATAGAAATGGAGGTTCAAAGGACATCCAAGTACGAATCGCGCAATGAGTGTTAAGTGACAAATAATGAAAGGCACACGAAATTATTGCGATAATAATTGTTTGTTTAGGAGTTCGAACGGTGATTTGAACGCCGAGAGCCCCGTGGACGACACCTCGCGGGAACGCGTCAACGTGGCCACTCTGAGAAATGTATTTTTTCACACTTCAGCGGTATCTGCGGATCGCACAGAGAAACGATTGTCTGTCATAGAGGAACCGATACCGAGCGTGTCGCAGAGTTCTAATAATAATCGGATCTTCACGCCTTCGCACGACGAGAGTCAGAGCCCTACTAGTACGGACGAGAGCTTACAATGCTAAGAAAAATTAAGACTGAATCTGTGGGCGTGCAATGATATGCATGTGTCTCTCAAAAATATTACGATTTGTATAGAGTATAACTTGCCGGCTCGCATTAGATACACGGGGCATACACCATGGCGCGAGATACTGCCGTGTCTCTTGATGCGTGTATACACTATTTTTGGGTGTGTGTATATATATGTATTAAATTACATAATCTGTATACATAATCCGTAAGTATAAACGCGAAGGTTGTACATACCCACATACGCAACGCGCAGTATAGTTTAAATATTATACGGCAAAGATAAAAAAAAATAATTTTATTCATCGTGTGCATTTGCGCTGTGATTATGCATATACTAGAAATTATGAATGTACATACATACACACACACAGACACACACACACACGTACTGGCCTCCAATTCGTTATAAAGCGATAAAAGAAGATTTATAAAATTTTCTTTTTGCGCCAATATTTTGCGAATGAATATCGTTATTATCTCTTCTGAGTCCTTCTACTCTTGTCAGAGCAATTGTGACCTCTCGTCGTATTTCTGCGCTATAATATTTACAATTTTACGCAGATATACGGGATCTACTGCAGTTTAATGCCGGCTCCGAACGGCCTTAACTAATTAAGAGAGGTTCTCATGGCAAGATTATACTCTCGGTGGTTTGCCATTGCCTTCCGGGATGTAGCGAATAAAAAAGCTGATCGGTTTTGAATCCGGGTCTTCGGCACAGAAAGCAGACGCACAACTCTGCGCCACGATCGCTTTCAAATCGTTATTATACACAGACAAAATGATCTTATTACTTATTATCTAGATTATGCCCCAGCTCCCGAAGTCCGGTTTGTAACGAACAGGTGGACAATACAAGTTAAGAAAAAGAATTACAAAGATGAAAGTTAACGTTGCGGATTGTCGCTGCATTTTACAAGTCGAATACTGCTCATTACGTCTTTAAGTATTACGCGTTCTCGTTTAATGTAATCGGTCAATATACATGTAAGAATATTTGAATATGAATATTTCCCCAAAAAATACGTTTCTCTCCTTGCTATGTGAAAATATGTTATACAAGTAGTTTTATTTTACAAACAATACATTTTTTACATTACATTATACTGAAATGAAAAAGATTGCAGTTTAAATTATCCCGTAAATTTGTTTAACGAAACAGCAATCGTGGTTTATATATGTATTACTTCTGCATTTGTCACTTCATATGAACCAATTGACCATCGATACCAATGTGATTAAATATTAAAAAAGACTTACAAAAGTAGTGCTGTATATCAATTAGTTTCTCTTTGTAACTTATTTATCTGTAATTCTTCAAGAAATTCAAATATGCGTGCATATTGGTTTTATAAAAAGAATTTTGTTTAAAAGTATTAGCCATTTTCTAAGTAATATTTTACTTATAAAAAAAAAAAAATAAAATGTTAGTCGATAGTTTCCAAAAAATTATTTTGTATACGCATAGAGAAAAAAACCGAATTTCGAACTGTGACAAACTGCCGCATCGTCTTTATATATATATATATATGAATGCAAACTACTAATTATATTTGAACGAAATTCACACAAACATATTCGGAATAATTGATACATTTAGCAATGGAAGAAGTAGCAAAGCAAATATAATTTCAATATATTATTGATTTAAAAAAATTAAATAATCAAGTTCTCATTTTTTTAAACTTTTAAAAAGTTAATACAAAATTATCATATTTTGAATAAATATTTTCATTATCTATTTTATCAATATGCTACAATTGAATTCTTATATCAAGATAAATATGGATTTCTATGTTTATATAAAAGTTCTGTATTAACATGTGCAAGTGATCATCATTTCATGTTGGACAGCGAATAATTATTAAATAGTTTTTAACTGTTATTTTTTTGCAAATATATAATATATATTATACGATATTTCCTAATTATGTATAATTACCATAGTATTTGCTACATATTTTTATCATTCAAGAAATTTTTTTAAATTGAAATCGAAACATGTGATGATAATATATATAATTATAGTAATAATGATATTAATTAAGATGCTGAAATATCTGTGACTCTCCGAATGCCTATTGCACTACCTTTATTATACAAAAAAACGCAAATATTAATTAGAATTTAATTAGCATATTTTAGAGTACCGGCATCTATAAATGTATGAATTTATATTAATTTAATTTGCCTGTACTTGCCTGTCATATTGTACAGCACAGAAATATCTTTTGAATATGCACTGTTATTATCATTTTACATGTCATTGTAACAAAATGTATATATTTCTCTGGGAAGTAAAATAAACTGCTGCAAGAAATTAAACTGACACAAGAATGCGTTTAAAATTACAATTCACAAGCATTATTATAACTTGATATTGAAATTTAATTTGCAAATCTATCATAATTTTAATTTGTATTTCGATGTAATTAATATAAATTCTTGAAATTTAAAACAATATGTTAGATGTAATATTTGGCATTATCTGATTCATTGTTAAAAAAAGTTCAACTCGTTTTTATGTACAAAAATTTTATATTTTTATTATTTACAACGAACGACTTAGAAATAGAGGAGATTTTTTAAATAGTTCATCTACTTTCAGTTTGAACAATTCACTTTGTATAGGTTCATTTAATTGGCAGAGCGGATTCTTTACTACGTATTCCAGATAGACCTAAAATGAAAAATATGTGATTATGCACTAACTTGCCTAAACCTGTATTTTTATTAAACACAGGTATATGATCTTACTTCTCTGTACAATTGCTGCAACAATTCTCTGGCATTCTGACTTGCATTATCAGTATTCAAGACAAACTTAAGACCCGATGGCGTTTCGAAGTAATGAAGCGTATATTTGCTCGTCTTGTAATGCAGAAAGCCTTCTTTGGGGTCCAACGGTGAGATTTTGCTTACAAATGATTTTATGGAAAACAGCATCCCATACATTAATTTTGCTTCCTAAATTGTAAATACATTTCTGGTCATTTAGTTGTCAATTTTAGTATCTAATCGTATCACACAATCGACATACTAATACATTGTTTTTACATTTGTATGCATCTTTCTTTTTCATGATCGATCTGCTTTGAGAACATTTTAATGCAACGATAATGAATTAATCGCTATTTGTCATAACAAATTAAGTTTCTTCTTTTTTTTTTAAATTTTTGTAGCCTATCCAACTCAAAGTACATTTAAATTCCAATTTCTTTATATCTATTTATCGCACTATCCTCACGAAAGTGTATGTATAATGGGTGCATGTGATGTGCAAATCTAATCTGACAATGAGTGTTCGCAGTATATTGTCATATCTGCGGAGTATCATAACGTTGTTTACATACCAGATTAGTTTTTCTAATCAACATGCAACGACTGTGTGAACACCTATACGTTACCTCCTCCTTCGTCATCCCCGTCTTATTTAATCTGTTCCACTCAGCATAGTACAGCAACGTGCCGGTTTTCGAAAAGATGTACAAGTTATGAATTGTCATCGCTGGCACGTCGTCTCCCTTTCGTTTCACACTGTCGACTCCGCCAGTCGTTTCACCTCGCAATCGTTGTTTTGACGTTCCGACGACACTTCCCGCACAGTGCACAGCTGTCTCCGTGTATACTCGTCATCTGGTGTCAAAGTTACCAAACTCAGCGCACAGGAAAGTACGTCGATAATACTGAGTCATGCATTTATCTGCAGGTTGTAATAATGCAGACAGCATTTATTCGAACGCGCAACGAAGCAATTGAAATAAAATATAAAAATATAAGAAGAGAATACAGACTAATTTTACATAATTCTCAATTAATATATTAATATATTAATTACCTTTGTCTAATTTGTGCATGTTTTGCGAGAATATCTATTTTATATATGTGAGACTTACTATAATTGAAATATATACATGATATACGTATTTTTACATCTTAATTTATAATATGTAGAATTTATAATTTTATGTAGAAGTATATGAAAAAAATCTGTTTTTTTAAATCTATTATATCAATATGTTTTATATATATATATATATATATATAACGCGAGGTCGTTGAGGTCTCTACGATTAATTTATATATATACAGGATGAGAAAAAAGTACCGGGACACCTAAATAACTTCTGAATATATGTATATATATATATATATATATATATATATATATATATGTATATATATATATATGAGTCATCAAATCACGCATCTTGCTTCTATGACAACTAAAAGATTAATTAATAAACAGATATTTTCATATTTCTCGCAATCGATCTTCACTGATCTTCACACTATCAGTCACATGTCGCACACTTTGTCATATCATGTGATATATCAATAAACCAAAAACGGTAAAATAGACCATACAAAAATGTAAGTGAAAACTGTACAAATGCTCCTGTCGATTGTATTATCTCCGGATCTTAAATGGCATACCTGCGCGAAGTTCCTATTTTCGGAGAATTAGATTTTATCTTGAAGAAAAATCAACATGTCCTGTGATGAAATTTATAGTAAGAGACGATGTTCTAACACCGGTTGCTGTGGTTAGTATACAAATTAAATAATTAGTATTAATACAATATAATGAAAATTATAGTCATCACACGCAGTATGGTGTAACGACTATAATTTTACACGGTTCTGAAACAAGTTAAAATAATAACAACGTCGTATATATGATATTATGTATGTATTGTTATCTTTAATTTCCATTGAATTAATTATTCATAAAATTTGATATTTATCATCATTTACAAACAAAGAGAAATATTAATCGCTTTAATTAATTATTTTATACCATTTTCTATTTATCGGATTACATTTTACCAAATTATTTTGTGTGAAGAGTTATAATTTTCGATTGTCATAGAAGTCAATTATTAATGTGATAAAATTAATTTGTAACAAATAAACGTATTACTCGAAAACGTGCTCGTTTGAGAAAAGTACTCTTCAAAAAGATTTATTTTCCAAATAAATGTATTCTCTTTTATAACAAAATACTGAAATTCTAAAAAAGACTAAAAAATTTCCTTCGATTATTTGAAAACTAAAAATTTGTTTTAGATATTCGAGAGTTTTCCTTCCTTTTCAAATATCCCCTAACTCCTATACATCTCGAGAATGCAGCGACGTCTTTAGCTTGCAATATTTTGGTGCAGGAAACAGTTGTGCGTCAGGCAGGAGCGGTTGGGAGGCGCGCATATCTTCGTGTAATTGCCAAAGTAACGTAGGATGCTCGGATCGCAGTGCTTGCGGCGGTTTGCGGCCCGCCGGAACCGCCGCGACGGGCGCGTGTCCCGGGCCGTGTCAGTGCGTCGAGGAGGAAATCTGGAACAGCAACGTGCCACCTAAACCGAATTGCCGATGGTTGAATAACTTTGCCGAGCTGCGCCGTCAATGGAGCGACCACGGTCGTCAGCAGACGTACAAGTGCCGCGGCTGCAGCCGGCCGTGGTAGGGAAATAACGATGATTTAGCAATATCGATATGCCTTGGGGGCGCGAGGGTGAAACCCGCTATATGTTGTACAATACTGCGTGTGACGCGATGATGTGTGAAAAGAATAATTGTTCTTTATCAATATACAGAACATTTGCTCATTCCTATCTCGTTTTCAAATAACAATCACATCGAGCAATTGGATTGATTTACACGATACTTTTTTTAAATAATAATTAATTATTAATTATTTTTTAAATAATAATTAATGTGTTAGTCTTGTAATAAACTAGGAAAGCAGCTAAAAAAAACTAGCAGCTAAAAAAAGTAATTCTATAGTATAAATTCTGTAAATAGTTTTTTTTTAGAAAACTAGCAGCTAAAAAAATATAATTTATACAATTAATTCTTTTAGCTAGTTTTCCAGTTAATAAATAAGCATCGTGTAAATCAGTTCTTACTGATCTCGTTCCGATGTATTTCGACATATTCTGTTTTAAAGCACGCTGTAAAATTCAGCAGCCGTCGCTTTTTCTTCCGGCTGTTTTTGGTGCGCGTTAAGAAAAATGTTGCTCCTGCGCGACATCCGCAATGTTTTAGGGTAAACTTATTGACTGTTTGGAGGAAATTGGAGTTAGTGCTTATCTCTGTTTTCGTGAAAGCACTGGCCATTTGTAGTGCCGCTGTTTCCTTCTTCTTTACTTTTCTTTACGGTGGGCGAGAAAGGATTCTCGAATGAATATGAACGCTAAGCGAATATTTCCTCGTAAACATATTGAAAGAATTATTGGATTTCCTTATTTTGCGCCGTGTTGCATTTTGTTCGCAGCAGAACTGTCGCTTCGTGCCGACCGTGTCTTTCGCCAACGCCCCCGTGTTCCGGTACCATTTTACTTACGTCGGACTGTCAGGTACACACCGAGGTGGATTCCTCGTTGAGATACGCTTTAAAACGCGCTTGAGATTCCTTTGAGGTAGTAAATTTTGCATGTATTTAATGCGAAGGGAGATGAAAGTAAATGCCAGCGGGAAGAAAACAACAGATCTTAATCTTGCTATTCGGGTTTAAGGTTGCTCGACTTTTGCTGTGAAAAAAACATTTTCTTTCTAATAATATGATTTTATGTAATATTAACTTTAATAATAACTGCGACATTAATAATTAATTTTAACGTCCAACAATATAATACAATTGAAAATAAGTTAAACAAAATAGCAAAACAATTATATGCATAATTATGTTGAAATGTATCCATTTGAATTCAAAATCGTATTCGATATACATTATACATATATACGACAAACCGACGGAATAGCAAGGTTAAGCAATGCAGAATGAACAATGCAAGACGCGGTTAATGTTTCTGACGTCCTGTGTACGCTTTAATTAAATTTGATAGGAAGACTTGCAAGGATTTAATTCAGGCGCGGTTAGTTCACGTTACTCGATTTATGTAAATTAGCATAGTATAGTTAGAAGTAGGCGAGTGTTTCAAAGTTTCTTAATTATTCGGTAAAATCCGTAAAGTTGGTCAAACTAATTTGTATACAGACTTTAATGGCTCAGTAATTGGAACGTTTAAAATGTTAAACGTTTAAAATGCGGCCTAAACTTGACCGCTGTAACTTTAATACGCACGGCCATTACATCCGTTACATTTATCTTTACGCGTTTTTTTTTTTTTTCAAAAATATATATATCATCGTGTTACGTTGCGATTTTTATAAACGGGCGTTTTAAGACGACGATTCCGGGCAACTACGGATTCAAGCGATAAATCCGCGCCTCACTTTGTAACTGTCATCAGATTCTTCTATCTTCAACAGAAATGCCGTGGGTGCCGTCGCTTAGCGGGTGGGGCAAGCAAATCGGAAATGGCACCGGCAGATAAATCGTCATCACCCGAACCCCCGAAACGGGAAGCGGGCGGTGGTTGCCCACCGCCGAGCTGCAGCTATCCATCGACCCGCTGTAATTCACCTAACGCGGATTGCTCGTCGACCGCCTCGTCTTGCTGCCCCTGGCAATGCAGATATCCTCAACAAGCCCCGTCGCTTCGGGCGTCCGAGTGTCAGCCCTGCGCCTTGAAATCCATCTTGAAAAAGCGCAGCTGTTGCCACGACACGAGCTGCTGCCTGTGTCAACCGATGCCACGCGGCTGTAACTGTCCGCCGCCGATTCAGGTGGACGTGCGCGCCGTTCCCGAGGAGTGCTCCTGCGAGTGTCCGTCCAGCCCGGAATGCGCCTGTCCGCCCAGCGAACGGAGATTCCCAAAAGCGACGATCAAATGTCCTAACGCGCGTCTCTGCAATCCATCTCCTCGATTACCACCCGATCCCAAGTGTCATTGCCCGCGTTGTCAACCGTGTCCGCCGCCGCCGCCGCCGCCACCCTGCGATTCATGCACATCATCCTTCAAGTGTCGACGATCCGTTCCAGCCAAGAATTCTTGCCGCTCTACAGATTCGCCCTGTCCATCCTGCCCACCCTGTCGGCCGATTTCGACCGCTTCGCCATGTCGTCCTCCGACGCCCTGCAGAAAACTGACCTTCTGCACCGAACGTGGCGAACGTCGGCTCCCCTCGCCCTGTACAGGTCAGTCTTGGCGTGGGATCATTGGCGATAAGAGCACGGAAAGTAGCGAACAAAATGACGACGACGAGAGACGAGAGATACGCGATACGAAATATCGCGACCGTTGCTACGCGACTGATGACTACGTTAGATCCGACGGTGGATCCGAATTATACACTGACCGAAGTCGCGATTTAATATTGGACGAGGAATCCATGCAAAAGTCGAAGACTGCATTTGACGATTTGTCGGAGACCACAAATCCTTCGAAATCTGTCGATCCCGAGTCGTGCGACATGCCGGAGGAGCTCGACGAGAAGGTCGCTTTTGAAAATGCAGAGGAGGCTCTCGAAGCATGTACCACCGAAAAATCTTCCAAGGATTCGTGGTACACTTCACCCACCCACGCTCCGTCCGACAGCGGTGCAAAGCCCGATTGTTATGCATTCCACGAGAATTCTTCGCCCGCTGGCGGAAACGTGTCTAACAATAAGAATCCTGTTTTGGCGAGATTATTGAATCGCGTGAAATTACTTAGCCGGCTAAAGAATTTATCGGCGCCAAATAGAACGCTGCATCGATACGGCGTTACTTTTCGCGAGCCTCCGCGAGCACGTGTCGGATCGTTGGCGGGTGCATCGATAAGCATCTCGACGATAAGCACACGTGGGATCGACAGACGACGCGGGAACGGTGGATCCTCGAGGGAAGATACGACAGATAGCAAGTAGCTTACCTCGGAAAAATCGCGTAATGCGATTTGAACGTTTCAAAACTGCCGTCTCTCCCTATACGATCCGCGGCCGTTCAATCTTCCTCACCTAGTTCATGTAGGGATGTTGCCAGTCACTCTGTAAATCAAGGCTGCTCGCTTCTGTTACATTTCAAAATAACCATGCAGCGACAATAGGAGTGAGGAAGGTGCGATTAAAATTCCGAGAGAACATTTAACTGTAAAATATTTCTGTCATTAATACAGAAAAGTTATTAATAAGTTTAAGTATTTTAAATAAATCTAAATTTCAAAAATTTTTTGTCACAATTTTTTATATAACAGAGGTTTTTACCTCTCTTTTTTATACGGATTCCTCGTTCAAAAAGAATAATTTACAAAAATATACGTTAAACATAAATTTTAAACATATATTTTATGCGAATATAATTTAATGTCATAAAAAAATGGGTAAATTAAATATCACTATAAAATTGAGAACCTTTTTTTTAGTTATATCAATTTTAACAACAATACGAGTACATATTTGAGATTCACAGAAAAATAAATTTCTATATATGTTCAAATATTTTGAGAAATTCAAGAAATCTGTTTTGTTGATTTAATTATATGTAATGCGCTAGAGACTGATGTTTACTGTACCTTGTGTTGTGACCAAAGGACCAATGTGACACGTGGTGTGGTGCATCCAGTAGGTGTCAGCTGTACGTTGGAAGGAACATCGAGCGCGTATGCGCAAACAAACGATAAGAAGAGCGCGAGTGGATGCTACGATGTGTTCACGAATCTCGGTGGCATCGGCTATTCGACTCTCGTGCCGAACCCGTTGGCATTGATATCCTTCGTTCTGCTGATTCTTGTAGCCGTTACCTGGTTTCCCGGTTCAGCCTTTTACCATCGTTATTTATTACGCAAGAGATTCTGCTGGAGATATCTGAGCTTATAATTTATATACAAAATACTCTTGGGCTTGCGATTGAACGAAACAATTAAACAATATAATAAAAATTTATATTTATCAAATTGCACGAATAAATAAGTAAACAAGCACGTGAATATAATTCTGGAAATTTGCAATCAAAGTTAGCCTGTGGAACATAAATTTGATTAATAGCCTGTAAGCTATGTTTTGTTCCAAATATAAAATTCGTAGCACAATGAAAATAACTCGTAAAATGTGAAACAATAAATAAATGATTTACCAACGAATGCACCGAACCACGTAGAAAAGGATTATTATTTTTAACAATATAAACATATTTTCAAAAATTTAATATACATTTTCGGTCGGATTTATATTTATAAAATAAAAATAATTGATTATTGCGAACAAAATATTGCGAGAGTGTAGTACATTGCGATTACTTTGCGGGAATTTTCTTTTTTAATATATGCGATACATAACGCTTCAACCTCCCCCATCACATCGGGAGTGACACAGTGAATGACGGCAATGACGCTCGCGCTTTCTGTCAGTCGGCGAAATGACGTGCCGGAGAGCGTTTCTGTTCACGTTTTTGACGGCGTTAGTGTTCTGTGCGACATTCCGACGAGGTGCTCCCGCTGTGCTCGGCGGAACCATCGAAAATAAGAGTGTCACCGAAAAAGCGCAACCGGAAGGTTGCATCGAGTGCGGATATTACAGGTACACGCGGCGCGCAGACAATGTTGGATATAAATGAAGCCTGTATAGAAGAATATCTTATTTAGAGTTTCAATTTTTTGGTGCATATATTCATTTCTTTTCTTAATTTATATTATATAGATAAAGTTATAATTTAAGAAAAAAGTGTAGTATTTTTCTTTTCAAAATGTGACTCTAAGAAATTTTACTGCTTTTCTAATTTCAAAATTGTAACTCTATTTATAAATTAAAAAAATTAACCTTTTAGAATTCGATAAGTCGCCAACATTTCTTTTGTCGTTCATTGTGCATAAATAGATGTCCAGAGAACGCCGGAAAATGCTTGTTGGGCTCGGTACCTGATCCTTGTGGCTGCTGTCCGGAGACTGGTTTGTGCGCCCGTCTCCTCGGCGAACCATGTTGGAACGCGAGCATCCCGCTTCTATCTCCAGAGAGCCGTAACGAAGGATACTGCGCAAGAAATTATCTATGCGAGCTGCGCTCCGATCTACAAGAAAAGGTACAAAACGCGGTTCGTTTTTACAAACGTTAGATGAGATCTTTAAGCGCATGATGAATTTTACTTCGAATATCTACAGCTCAAGAGGCAAGGTTTTTAATATCTCAAAAAAATCATTCTTCTCAATATCGTCGAAAATCTACACGTGCATCACTCTGAAATTTTCAATTCAGTTGCGTGGGCAAGTTTTTAGAATTTATTTACTCTTTCTCGCTCGTTCTATTACATTCAAACATAACTGTTTATATTATTTTTATTGAGTCGTCGTATTTTCAAGAAGGTCTCGATACATATCTATGTTGTCACGTACGCGATAGCTGATCACATGTTTGGATCGTCTATGTGTACAGTTTTTCAAACTGTGCACTGTGTTTTTGAAACGCGTGATTCTCGTTAAGCAATATACTTCGCGCAGTTGTATAACAGGCAACGTCTAACAACTTACACACATATGCGTCATGGTATTGTCGCTGATTTAATTCGCTGATGTAATTATGAAAAGTCCGGGAGTTAATTTAAACAAAAACGATACGGCATTTTATCATAGTTGTTTTATTACAGAAATATTATTTATTATATATATCTTGATTTGATTTTTAATAAATCTTACACAGAAAGAACGATTTTGTTGAAAGGTCTGAAAATCTGCTGAATACAGATCTGAAAATAATTTTTTGTTAAATCATCAAAATAATTTGTTGGAATGTTAAAACTGATAAGCATTGCTACAAAACGTTTTGATATTCTAGCAATCATTTTGACCTTTGCACAAAATTATTTTGATTAATGAACAAAAATTATTTTCAGATCTGGATCCAACAAAATTATTCTTTTCGTGTGCGTATATATATAATTTACACGCTGCGTCGTTTCTACGTAAGATAGATTCTATCAAACAGCATGGATTCTTTCAAAGAGCATTTGTCGTATATGTGCTAAGCTAAGAACGCGAGTCGTCACGTTTGATATTTATCGCCTCCGTAAGTGATAAATTCACTTTCCCAATTAGATTTAAGGAGATCACGCTCTAGATCACTCGGTCTCAATGAGTCCGTCTTAATGAGGTGGCCCGGGTTTCTGGGTTAGTTCGACAGAAAAAATGGGAATCATTGCGCAAACGATACCTAACGCGGCCCCGCGTATATCATCCACCCACTGTGCTATGCGCTGTCAGTCAGATCTAACGTAGCTTCAAGATTTGCAGCCACCGGCCGGCGACTTACGGTCACTGACCCGCTCCACGCCGGCGGCCTTTTCGCATCTAATTTCGTCTTATCGTGCACCGTGATCGTGGGCCGTGGATCGCATTGTGAGAATATATGCGCACACACGTCATGCAATCAAACAATCAGGCAGACCGTTTGAAGACCGTTCATGATAGATGCGGGCTGGAGATAAGAATACTTTTCGCTATATGGCCTTAAGGGGAGGTTGGAACTGCGTATTTATAAATATGCCGGAGCATCTCTGAAAGCTCGTGTCAGATGACATAAGGCTACATGACCAATAAATACTGATTTGTACATTAACCATTATAATTACAGTGAACTATTTTAAATTGTTTAAACGGATATTAATTAATTTCCTAGTTGAGCGAACTATCTATATGAAGACAATTCGCGTGAAGTGTTATGTTTGTGCCAGTTCCGTAGGAATTCTTGGGACATAGCGAAGACGTGCTGGCGCACAAAGTGCCGCATTACCAACTTCCAAAACGATTTAACTTCTCCGCAGTAAAAGGGGAGAATTGTTTTGCCTCCGAATGTATCCAGATATGATAGCCATTCTGTCTATACAAAGTGGAAGAAGCAATAAAAGAAAATAATAACAACATATGTATCCGTTTTATAGTACGGGGGAAAAGTGCGTGTAATTAATGGATACGAATAGATTGTATTTTTACGCAGGACGCTCCGCAGGCAACCTGCGTTTGCATGGAACAGAGTCCGGCGTGCGGTAGCAATAACGAGACGTACTCGACGCCGTGCGCGTTACACGAAGAGGCGATGAAACTCCGGAACTCGTCCTCCTTGAGATTGCAACACCTCGGTCCTTGTGAAAGTAGACCTTGGATTCTGTCAACTTTGGAAGACGTCGCCGCATCCTTCGGTCAATGCGTCGCACTTAATTGCGAGGCAAAGGGCTTCCCTGTGCCGGATATCTTTTGGGAATTTCACTCGGCTGACGGGAGAAGAGTATTAAAGTTGCCGGGTAAGGTGATACAGTGTTAATGGTGTTGAAATAAAATATTTTGCAAATTATTTTTTGCGTTGCACGGATTGAGATATAATTAATATACAAATAAATCAAATTATTTTTTTAAATACAATTGTAAATCGGGAAAACAAGGTTAAAAATTCATCTGGCAGTAGCATTTAGTAGCACTTACAAGTTTGTCTTAAAACTTATACGTTACATATTGCTGTGTAATTATACAAACATAACATATATTGCAGTAATCTATAATTTTATTTACAGAAAAGGAGCACCAAGCGACGGTACACACGGTCGACGGTCCGGAGCCACTTATGCGAACATCCTGGATGCAATTGGTTCAGCTGGATGAAAAACACATCGGGATGTATCATTGTATTGCTAACAATTCCATAGGCCAAGCGAGCACGTCTTCATTCGTGTCCATATTGTGACATTGTGCTTTTATGTGAGACAATCTTTTTCGTATAACTGCTGTGTCCACGAATACAATGCGAAAAAGAAAACAAGCTAGCTAATACGTTCGGGAGATTTTATTTTTTTAACAAACAAAAAGTATGAAGAATTCTTCGCACAACCCTGTTAAAAAAAAATTGATAGAGAACAATATATCGTTTTTAATCATAATTATGAACCGTAAAAGAATTATCACGTATAAACAATTCATTACGATAATGCTTTAATCGTTTATTCATGATCATCAAAACAATATAAAACAATAAGTTACTATAAAAATTTTATATCGATATTTCAACGATTAAAATTGTTTTTATTAGATAATGATAGAAAACGATAGCTAGGAAACGATAACATTTTTTTCGGAATGGAACGATAGATACGATAGGACACGATAAATTTATTTTTATTTAGCAAATCCTATCGGTTTCTATCGATTTTTTTTTAACAGGGAAATGATACAATTCTGAGATCGAGTAGACTTCGTAAAAATGTACGAACGGCAGTTGGCTTTTTAGAGAGAGAAACCTGCTTGCGATAAATTAGAAATAAAACTTGTTTTGTACGATCTAAACTTCAAGCGCTTCATCAATGTTTTTGCTATATTAAATCCTAATGCTATATTAATTTTTTTCTAAGTCTGCCTGCAACGCGAGGTCCTCGTCCTTTGTCCTCGTTTGTTACCAATCGTTTTCTGGCGGCGGCGGTGGACTGTAAAATATAATTACAGTTATGAACAAAATTTTACAAATGGAATTTTAATAAAAGTTGTTTTTTTATATACATGCTTTTAATATCATATTGTAATTATCCAAATATAAAGTAAGAAGGAGATATTAAACTCTATACTTACTCTGGCATCTGCCACGTTCTGCCGTCGTCCGTGTTGAAACTTTCTCTAAGAAATGGTACATTTTTGCTTTCATAATTTATATCTTTTAAATCTTTAAATTTATCAATTAATTAAGAATACTAACGTTCTCGTTGACAGCAAGGTGTCTTCTACGAATTGAGGCGGTTTCTTGTATACCAGTGACAAAATATGAGCTGTTGGTGTGCTGATTATCATAACGATTACGCCTATGAACGTAGCAAACCAGAAGCCGTTCTGAAAGCATAGATTAGTAAGAAACTTTACTGAAAATGCGAGATTAATTGCTCGCATGCCACCACATGTTGAATATTTATGTGTTCTTACTTATACTTAAATTATTTAACATGTATTTAATTGTTACATACTTAATCATACATAATTCTAAATTGTACGTACAAGAGGGCTTAAAATATGAGCGCATAGTAAGTATCTCAGTCCTTCTAGAACGTTCCACAAAGGTCGACACTTGGATACTCCCGTGCCAATCTCGGAGAATACGTGAGTCCGCCATTGATCTAGGTAATTCGATAGTCGGTCCACGTACGATTTTGTCTTCTGCAAACGATTATTGAACGTCGAAACTCAGTAGTCTGTGGCTATTTTCTCTCTTATGAATATCTCACGATAATATATGTACATATATTTTTAATACCACACTATATTTGCCACTCAAATTTACACTGGGTGAAATTTACCCGGTCTACCTATTTTGTTGCATAATTTCGGTTCAAACGCATCAATTTAGAACTTTTTTTTTAAATCTATCGCCAGACAGTAAGAAAGATGACTGAATGGATAACACTCAAAGATCTTAAGGACATAAACAATTTGCAAAAATGTAAATCAGCTTTTATATCTTTTCCGAAAAAGGCTGATTTTTCTTTTATATCGCAGTTCTTTTTAGAGACGAATAAAAAAAGTAAAGTATATTTTCTAAAAGAACATGAGTGGTATTTAAAAAAAAAAATACCTCATATAGTTTCACTTTAAAAAACACTTATTTGACCGAGTGAACTAGACCGATTGTTGAACTTTATGCGTGGCTGTAATGGCAATATCAAGTGAAATGAAGTGGCTTATGCATGACGGAAAGTTGTAGAGGACACTTGTAAGTTTTTCCCGCCCACATCGCGATCCCACTTCTTCAATCCTGTCGGAATGGCATGCACTTCAAAAATGATTCGAGTAAATTTTACCCAGGTGTGGTAGTCTAGGGTTAATAATCAGCATCAGAGAAGAATTTTTGAACATCATTATTCACCAATTGAGCGATCTTCTCCCCCTGATGATCTATGTAATACTGTATTGTTCTTAGATGCGAGATCGATTGATTGATTTGACGCCAAAGGGGTTGCACCTGCAACTCCAGAACTGCGAGACGATAGACCAGATCGTCCTGTAACTTCATTAGCGGTTTCACCCGTCGCAGTGTCAGATCCCGCATTGTTGTCCCGATGCTTTGCAGCTCCCTGGCAATACTTCGGTCCTGCAGCTGGCGAGATACATTGTCCAGTTGATCGGACAACGTACTTATGTCTTTACTCAGGATCGGCCCTTGAATCTGCGGAAGAGTATAGAAAATAGCATTTGAGATTATCGGGGAATAAAACAGTCGATTTTCCGGCAGAGAGTATCTTTCTTTGCCGAATTTTGTTACTTAAGGTATCACCGTAAACAAAGAAGCATGTTTAATGATTTGCATATAAGAGATCCGATTGTAAGAGATATTAAAATGAATGTACATATGTATGTTGTACACTTAAAATAAATTGGCTTAGTTATGTGCAGTTAAATAGACTTTAATTAGTAACGGCTTTAAACCATAATCACGGAAACAACTCGCTGTGAAATCCGTGTCGTTTATCATAGTAGCCGTCTAGCATTACGTAGTGATGCAGCTGCGCAATTTGTTACTTCTCTTTAATGCCAGTGGATTTTTCCTTCGTGAAAATTCTTCAAAGCCAGAGTAATCTCGAGGCTTTAATCAAGTTGTTAAAAGTCTAGTAAAAACGTCCGCTTCTATTTTAAAACACAAAGACTCGGCTTTTACTTGGAAGAATGTAAAAATAAAAAATTGGAGTATATATCTAATGGAAGTAACACAAATGAAACGTAACACAAATAAATCGTGATAGATACCGTAATTCTATGCGCGGTGAGATTCAAACCGCAGGCGTACAAGAGATCCTGAAGGCGTTGTCGTAAATTCGGAGTTAATATTCGCAGACCCTTCAAATCGACTTTGACATTTGAGATTGCCCTGGACAGGCCGGGCCATGCCCAATGGGCAGTCAAATGTTCCAGCTTCATTGCGTTTTCCAACCCGAAGGCGGGATAAGCTGCCTCGTTGTTTCGACATTTTCTGTAAATAAATATTGCTGCTGAAAGCCGTAACACGCATTGTAACCGGTCGCTGCGTCTGTATGTACATTACACAGCCTGAGGGGATATATAATAAAAAATATAAGTAAAAAATATAATTTACACTCAGACTGCTTGGTATACAGTCAAACTACATAAAAATAAATTTATATTCAACTCAAAAGTTTTCTTTAAAATTCGAAAAATATTTTATTTCTAACAATAAAAAAGTTTGTTTTATTGGAAATATGAATGTGTGTGATTGCGACATTGATGAAAAAAAAATGTGTATATGTATATAATATTTTTCCATTGATTACTCTTGTAATAGAATTCAGTTTTTAATTTTCAATGCAATCTTTGCTGTTATTCGAGGTCGAATATCATAAAGTTTCATTAGCTTAGTTAGGAACTCACTCGAAGAGCTCCTTGAGTGGAACTGTGAGTTTTCTTCCTAAAAACATTCGAGTTTCCAGCACAACTTCCATAGTGCGATAGTCAGGATCGTACAGCGGTCGACATATCAACATTTCCGTATGGCTGGCGATGCCTAAAGCGATGATGAACACTGCCCATAGTGTAATCGAGACGAAACAGCTCGTGGCCGCGCCACTGAAATCCGATCGACACACTCAATCTGGCGATCTGTCTTATTGGATCTATGGTGTCCATTACTTCTAATCAAATTCCCTGCTGTCAGAGCTCACTAAATGATAATTGACCGCAATATATAATAAATATTTATTTACGTTGTACGTAATATTGCCTTCTACATTATATTAATAAATATTTGCTACGTGATAAGATATTTGATAATAAATTGTCACGTTTATATTTGTGGTTGATCTCTCTTTGTTTTTTAGTACAGTATTTTCATAATTCATGCAATTAAGGTTAATTGGTAGAATTATAATATGTGCGCGTGTAATGGAAATATATATCTTATAGAAATTATTATTTAATAGAGATACACAACATGCGAGTTTGTTTACTTATATCATTTTACATATTATTTTGTACACAATAATATAATCAAAAATATTAATGACACACATTATTAATGATACAAATTTACTGTAGTGATAAAATTGGCTCCAATTTAAAAGCAAAAGCTTGAAATAATGAAAAAGATAATAAAAAATAAGGGAATATCTAATTGCTTTTTTTTACAAAAATTACCTGTAAAATGAGTAAAATTGCTCTCCTGGGCAATATTATAGTTCATATTATAAAACTTAATGCAATATTTAGTAGCTCGCTCTTTTGTCGGATAAAGTAATTAAAGATAAAGTAATTAAAAAATATAAGAGAAATTAATTACTACGCCAACCTTATAATATTACATACTTGAGCAATAATTAATTCAAATAATTTAAATATATTTGTCTTCTTAAACAATATTTTTTAATAATTTACGTTGTTTGCGATAATTGAAGAGTTTGCTGCAACAATGAATTAATTGTCTCATATTTTATAAAAATGGAGAAAATAAATTCTAAAGTTAAAATGAAAGATACATCCATTTCTATCAATACTACCTATTTGGCTACATGGATTAGTCCATTGTTGCAGTAAACCCTTCAATTAGAATAACATAGAACCAATAATATAATTTATTATTACTAGGTATTTATAATGTAAACTTATGTAGTGTGTTGTATTACAATACATTTATATAAATAAATATGCATGAGTAAGATGCATACGTGAAATATGTACATACATCATAATATACGAATATATCTCGTGTTTCATTATTTAGTAATTGTGAAACAATCGCATAGGCAATATTCTCACCATGGAATGAATAAAATAATTGATTATACGTATTAGTCCCCGCACAACCATACAAGACAGTTATTAATAGCACAAAATGCTTATCTAATATAACACGCCGCAACAAATAAAAAAGATACCACGAAAAATGAAACAGATTTTTCTGCTTCCACCATGATTTATACGAGTTACATATTGCTTACCACAAAAGAGTTGGACGCACTTTATTTTCGGATGATCCACAGCGACAGCACAAAGCTCCAATCAGTAACGAAAGAATCGGTAAAATGCATAGAGCACTAGCTGCATATTACAAGTAAACAGAACGTGCATTTTATTTCATAGCCACTTATTCTGAATCTTAAATAACGCGTAATATATATGTATATATGTATTTTGTAATATATTGATTGTTTTATTATTTCATTATATAATTAATTTATTGTATATAAATCACTTTTTATTTTTCATATCTAATTGCATAAATAATTGGAATAAATAATTCTAAATCAATTTATTTAAAACGCAATGCATTATATATAAATATTTTATTTTCGTCGTTA